AAATTAGGAGTTTCCTTTAGTAAAGCTCCAGATAGTTTTAAAGTAGTGTAGGAACCAGCCAGGCTTTAAAGCTGCAAGGCCATTCAATGCTAATCAAGGCAGCCAATTGCAACACTCACACTTGCCTCCAACAGACAAGAGTTCTTTCTCCCACCCTGGACATTCCGCGATATATAAACCTCACTTGCCTCGTTTCCAACAGACCTCACAATCTCTGAGGATGCCTGCCATAGATGCATGCAAAACGTCAGGAGAGAATGCTTCTGGAACATGGCCATACAGCCTGGAAAACTCACAGCAACCCAATGATTCCGGCCATGAAACCTTTGACAACACAATGAAACAGTAATTTTAAAGCAAATAAAACTAGAAATACGTTCTGCAGGATGGGAAGACACAAAGACAGTGGGGATGGCGTGGACCATACACATTTCATCCTCAGAGTTGAACAAAGCTTTCCCAGAGCAGGTTCTTCCACATGTATATTTAATTTGAAGTCACACTCCATCACAGATTAATAGTCTTAAACGTTATTCTTCACTTAATGAAAAATAAATATTCACAGATTGATTTTGGGGCATATAAACTAGCCTGAAGACAGATTTGTGCTAAATTACATTAATGCCACTTTCTGGAATGTATTTACAGCTACAGGTATAGATTCTTACTATATTTCTAAAGAAAAACATGACTATACAACAATGCTGGATGTATTTGTGGAGTGTAATTTGTTACTTTGCTGCTTCTGGGGTTTCCCCCCTCTTTTTTCATTTGCTAAGTACTTGTTTAAAACATAAAGTAGAGAATGTAATTAAGGGTGATTAATTTGAGACAGACTTCTTAAGTACTCCACTAATATGTTATGTTCTCTCAGTAACTTGGAAACTGAATATACCTCAGAGCTGTAAACACTAGCAAACCTATCTTTGAATGCCAGGATCTGGTGATCATTAGAACGCTGTAGCTTGATCTCTATGCCAAACAACCAATAAAGACTCACGCCATAAATATGAGCCACACTGAAACAATTAGTTGTACAATGACAATATAGAAAGCACCATTTTGGGATATTTAATTGTCTGAAGCGATACGTGTAAAATATTTTCATAATAATGATGACTACTGCATTGTGTTACAAACATCATAATGATACAGCCTCAAAACTATCAGTACATTAGCAAGCTTAATTTAAATCCATCAAATCCAGATGAAGGTCTTTACTTCAAAGTATTCATACAAGTCATTTCTTATATGTGGAGCAACTTTCCAAAAGACACCCCTCAACCATTCGTTCTGTGTGCAAAAGCAGATAGTAGGACTCCTAAAAAATACTAGCAGAGGAAGTGCAGGCCATTTAAATGGTTGGTATTATTATTCTGGCAGATTAGTTATAAAATAACAAATAGATAAAATTTGCTCACAGTCTTCTTATTTTGGTAAACAAAAGTAAACTGTTCAAAACAAGAATAAACAGCACACTTTGGAAGTACTGTATTCATCAACAGGCTTGTTAGTGCATAATGTGTCTACTTAGAAAGCAATACAGGCAGTCCCCGAGTTACAAACATCCGCCTTACAAATGACTCATAGTTAAGAATGGGGGTGAGACAACAGGAAGTGAGAGAGATCTACCCCTAAGAAGGGAAATTCACTCCTGAAAGAGTTATGACAGGGGAAAAGGTGGTCTCCACTGAAGCTGTATCACTAATCCTTGCTCCCACAACAAGCCAGTTTTTTTTCAAAATCCAATTCACAGGGACAGAAAGTGAGGTGAAATCTTTTGAACAGGGGCACAGACAGAAAAACAATCACCACAGGGGTGTTAACCTTTCCCTATGCTATCCAAAGCTCTATATGAATTCAATGAAGTGCCATTGGATCCCCCACATACGACCTAGCAAAATTTCTTGCTGCACAGTTACAAAGCCATATTGGGCTCACTACACACTACATCAAGGACTCAGCCCACTTCATAGAAAAAATCAGCAATCTCAAGCTAAATACAAACGACAAACTGATCAGCTTCGATGTGGTATCTCTATTTACCATGGTCCCGGTAGCAGACACCATGGCACTCATCAACCAGAGGTTCCCAGAAGACATCACGGCTCTGTTTCACCATTGCCACCACCAGTTACTTTCAGTGGGACAATGAATTCTACGAACAGAAAGATGGAGTAGCTATGGGGAGCCCTCTCAGCCCGGTCATAGTTAACTTCTACATGGAACACTTTGAAAAACAAGCCCTGGAGACAGCAACCAAAAAGCCCACGATATGGTTCAGATATGTGGATGACACTTTCACCATTTGGAGCCATGGAGAAGAAGAACAACAGGTTCCTGGAACATCTTAACAGCATCCACCCAAACATCCAGTTCACCATGGAAAAAGAAAATGAAGGAAGACTGCCTTTTCTAGATGTCCTAGTCATCGCAAACCAGATCAACAATTGGGTCACACCGTCTACAGAAAACCCACACACACAGATAGATATCTACATAAAAACTCCAACCATCACCCAAGTCAAAAAAGAAGCACCATTAAAGCCTTGGCAGACCGTGCAAAAAGAATCTGCGAACCCCACCTCCTCCAAGATGAACTGAACCACCTCAACTGGACTCTCCAGGCCAATGGATACTCCACCTCAGACATCAGAAGAGCTGCAAGACCAAGAACAAGCCACGAGAGTAAAGATGAAGATCCACCCAGAGGAAAAGTGTTCCTGCCATACATCAAGGGAACCACTGATCGCATAGGGAAGCTGATGAGGAAACACAGCATACAAACAATCTACAAACCCACCAAGAAAATCCAACAAATGCTATGTTCAGCAAAGGACAAGAGGGATCCTCTCACCTCTGCAGGAGTCTACCGTATACCATGCAGCTGTGGACAAGTCTACATAGGGACCACCAAACGCAGTGCCCAGACACGCATCAAGGAACATGAAAGGCACTGCAGACTACTTCAACCAGAGAAGTCAGCCATAGCAGAGCACCTGATGAACCAGCCTGGACACAGCATATTATTTGAGAACACAGAAATGCTGGACCACACCACCAACCACCATGTCAGACTACACAGAGAAGCCATTGAAATCCACAAGCATGTGGACAATTTCAACAGAAAGGAAGAGACCATGAAAATGAACAAAATCTGGCTACCAGTATTAAAAAACTCTAAAATTATAACAGCTAAACAACAGAGAGGAAAAAACCAGGCACAGATTAACACCTCCCAGGAACAGATTTTCCCAGGCTCAGGCAGATCTTCAAATGCTAATGAAGGTGATCAGCTAAACATTCACACCTAACTGCAGCAGGGAAGAGCTCCTTGCCCCACCCCAGCCATTCCACAGATATATAAACCCATTGTCCTAATTCCAACAGACCTCACACCTCTGAGGATGCTTGCCATAGATGCAGGCGAAACGTCAGGAGAAATGCCTCTAGAACATGGCTCTATAGCCCGAAAAACCCCACAAGAACCTCTATATGAATTCGTTTATAAGTCGGAACAGAAACATTTTTAAGTGTGACTCCATCCATCCATCTGTGTGTGTGTCTGTGTGTGTGTGTGAGGCTGGAGTTATACTTAAAAATGTTCCTGTTCTGACTTACAAACAAATTCAACTTAAGAACATAACTTGGCAGCCCCCGGTAGTGCAATGGATTAAACCCTTGTGCCGGCAGGATTGCTGATTGAAAGGTTGGCAGTTCGAATCTGGAGAGTGGGGTGAGCTCCTGTCTGTCAACTCCAGCTTCTCATGTGGGGGCATGAAAGAAACCTCCCACAGGATGGTAAAAAATCCAGGCATCCCCAGGCAATGACCTTGCTGACGGTCAATTCTCTCACAACAGAAGCAACATGCAGTTTCTCAAGTCGCTCCTGACATGAAAAAAAAACCCCTTATGGATTGCCTGTACCATAGAACAAAAAAACCACAGAACAAAGAAAATGTTTTGTTTTTTACATCCTCATATCCACTAGTATGATGGCATAAGAGCCCCAATATACTTGTGGTTCTCTAACAAGTGATGTTTGGAGGCTACTATCATGACTTGGATGCATTAATAATCTTTTTCACCATGTCCTTCTCCAACTCTTCCCCTTTAAAAGTGTCCAAATTGGTAACCATACTTCCTTTTGAGTTAACTCCAGAATTAAATAGGTGCTGTATGTAATATGTAGCAATATCTTCTCTGTCCTGAATCTCCAACTAGTTTAATAATTGAAACAAACACTTATTGTCACCCAGGGGATCAAATCAAGCAATATTAAAAATGATATTTCTTAACCACGTCAGCTTTTACAATCATCATCTTATATTCTTTACTGCCTCCATTTCCAATCAACTTTCAAAGAGGGTTTTTTAAAATGGAAATAAGACTGGTAAGTAGCATATATTCCTCTATGTTTCTTAAACAATTTATTCAGAGTCCCTTTATTTTCTGGTTTTGGGGATGTAAGAGGGTCCAGTGGAAAGGGGAAATCACCCTTTCTGAGTGAATCAATTCTCCCAGAAAAGGCTCCCAGAAGAACTTTTGTAAAGTCAGATGCAAAACTGCACATGAGCAATCTTTGCTTCTATATTAGTAGAGTATTTTCTCCATATCACTGAACTCACTAGAAAAGACAATATGCTTAGTAGTAGAAGTAGAAGTAGTAGAAGGCATTATAGATGGATGGACTCAATCAAGGAAACCATGGATGACATGAAGGACTTCTCTATAGGGTTGAAGTTGACTTGCTGGCCATTAAGAAGAGTTTGCAAAGTCTTTTTTAAAACTGTACCATAAGGAATGCAGCAATTGTGTAGCATGGACTGTGGCTGGGGAAAGATGCATCCATTGCCTGTTTCAAGTTTCACGAACAAGTTGCATCAGGTTCATGAGGAGGATGGTGGCCTTGATACAAGAGCATAAGGCCCACAACTTACTAAACTTGAACCAACAGGATTCAGCTAGGTACAGAAGAGAGATAAACAGTCTGTGCTTACCTTTCAAAGCCAATTTGCCGTAGTGTTTTCTCCCATGTTGAACCTGTGGAGGAAAGGAAGAAAACTCATCAATATCCCTTTTTTATTTCTTTTAATTCATTTACCCTCTAAATTGTGAAAATAACACAAAATCAATCCCCCTCATGTTAGCTGATAATCAACAATACTATGATAAGCCTATGATGTGATTTGTTCCCATGCCATATTAAAACAGCTTTACCAATGTCCTTGGCAGCTTGGTACTACAAATCATAAGGTTGTCCTAGAAGCATCTAATGTTACCTCTTTGCCAGAAGAATGATCAACACAGCACAACACCAACTGTATTGAGGCTATTCAAGTATTCTTCAAATTCTTTGAAGAACTGCCCCAGGTATATTTTATTCACTGTATAGCAAAAAATTGTACAGTTCACATTTTTACATTGTTATGCAATCTATTTAAAATTACTGGGTTGTTGTAAGTTTTTTGGGCTGTATGGCCATGTTCTGGAAGCATTCTCTCCTGACGTTTTGCATGCATCTATGGCAGGCATCCTCAGAGGTTGTGAGGTCTGTTGGAAACTAGACAAGTGAGGTTTATATATCAGAGAAATGTCCAGGGTAGGGGAAAGAACTCTTGTCTGTTGGAGGCAAGTTTGAATGTTGCCAATGGCCATCTTGATTATCATTTAATGGCCTTGCAGCTTCAAAGCCTGGCTACTTCCTAGACGACTTTAAAACTATCCGGAGCTTTACTAAAGGAAACTCCTAGTTTTGTTTCATTGAACCAGTTAGTGTTGTTGTTACAGAGAATGCCAGTTTGAAAGGCTGACACACAGCAGAGACCAAAACGTCAGGAGAGAATGCTTCTAGAACATGGCCATACAGCCTGAAAAAAATTACAACAATCCAGTTATTCTGGCCATGAAAGCCTTTGACAATCTATTTAAAATTATGACTATTGAATGCATTTTATTAAATTATTACCTCATATATCTCAATTCCAGAACCATTTCTCAACCTGTATTTTTCTCCAAATTAGCCTCTACTGCAAAACCAAACTACAAGTAACATTTTATAGTGTGGTATTCGAATATTTATTTGGATGAAACCCTACTGTGTTCAAGTGGTGTTAATGGCTTTACATTTACAGTTTTAAAGACCCTGGACTTTTGATGCTGAGTAGGCAGGTGAATGGATGGATGGATGTAGTGCATATACACATAAAACCACTTTACAGTCATGGTGAAAAGGAAATGGGTTTGATGCAGCATATTAATCATAGCAGGCAGCGTATTTCTTCTCGTACACATATTAAGACAACCTTCCTTAAAACATTGACACCAAAACATGAGTCGTAAACAAAAAAATTACTCTGGAATAATAAATTATGAAATATATTTAAATTAAATATTGGTGGCTCCAATAAGCATACTAGCTTCTAACAATATTAATTTCAATGTATGTTGCACACACCTTCTACTTCTCTTTTTTGTATGAATATTCTTGAAATGTGGATGGGAAAAATAGCAATTCAGCAGATGTGCGTTTAATAAAATGACAGATGGTTGCTTTTTTCTGACTGAGAAAAGAAAAAAAAACCTTTCACATATGGATTTTGTGGTGCATTATATAGATTTATTGCCTGCAATGCAATAAAATTAAGGTCAGATGACTGGTCTTTCTCCCACCCAACTACAGGCCCACCCTTTCTAAGACCTTAAGATATTTTCCTGCTTTCACCAGAGAGTCTAAATACCCTAAAAATACCATACTCTGCAAGATCACAAAAGCTATGCAGGGTTAGCCTTGGTTATTATTTGTATGAGAGACCACTAATGAATACTAGGTGCAGTGAGCTATATTTCAGAGGAAGGACCTGGCAAACATCTCCTCTTAAGTAAACCTATGAAATTTATGGGATCACCATAAGCCAAGTGTTAGTCCCTGGTGTCACCATGGCCCTTGTGCCAGCAGGACCACTGACGGACAGGTCAGTGGTTCAGATCCAGGGAGAGCGGGTTGAGCTCCCTTTGTCAGCTCCAGCTCCCCATGTGGGGACATGAGAGAAGCCTCCCACAAGGATGGTAAAATATCAAACATCTGGGCGTCTCCTGGGCAATGTCCTTGCAGATGGTCAATTCTCTCACACCAGAAGCAACTTGCAGTTTCTCAAGTCACTCCTGACACACACAAAAAAGCAAACAGTTGACCTGAAGGCACATATATACATAAGGAATAATCTTTTCATTAGGCACAAAAAAAATAATGTAACGAGGTGTGGGATAATTTTTAAATAAAGTTTTAGGAATGATTATATTAATGAAGGAGAAATGCATCAGTTAATTGTCCATGCAAACTTTTAGAAGAACTAAAACATTAATTTTACACAATAATCACTGCAGCCCGTTTAGTATCAGGGACCTCCTCCTCACCGCTTCAGTTCTTGCAATTTTCTGTAGACATTCTAGGTCTGGACAGCCATTGGTTTTTGTTTATTCTCCTCATATAACAGCATGGTATCACAAGTTTTAAGTTGCTATACTTAAAGTATATGATTCCTATGATTAAAGTTTTGTTCCTGAAACTTACACTAGATTGCTTTGCTGCTTAAACAATCCCCATCTGTTTTCCACATTTCTGTTTTAGATTAACTTGAGCGCATATATTCGCAAAGAGAAGCTGCAGCCCTGAATATTTTCAGGAGTTTCTAGTTATACTTAACAGCAACAACTGAGTAATAGCACTTGTCATTCTACCTCCTGCCCAAATGAATCTACAGCACAGCTCTGATGCTACACTGTATTTACCACAGTAACAGCCAAAACAGAGCTTACAACTCCAGGTCTATGAAACCCCTTTTCTTTTCTTTTTCTTTTGTCCTTAGAGAAAATGTCTAGCACTGTAATCATAATGTTCAGAACACCTTATATCAATTTAAAAATGCTCAAATATGCAAGTAAAATTATTAATGTTGTATTTTTGTTTTAAAAAATACAGAGGCAAGAGTCGCAGGTTCAGCTGAACCAGCTGGGAAATGAACTTCAAGAAGGAGACACAGTCACAGATATGACCATTGTCCATATCCCGAACCAATTATGGTAGTGTGACAATCACAACATGGGGTAGTCATCCTTACCAATATAGGAGGAGGCAAGGTAGTTTGGATACCGTAAACACAAGTTATTTAAAGATGTAAATGTAATAAAAACTTGGAATTTTGGGCATAAATGACCTAGTTCAGTTGCTGGGGAAATACAGCTGCTGTAAAATGGGAAATCACATGCTTCCAATACGATCAACAATCAAGACTCCCATTGTCACATTATGAGTCATCTGAAATTGATCGGGATCTTTCAGTAGAAACTCTACACACAGTGCATTACAATGACCCAATTCATGTGTCACCACATGCCAGATTTAACTTTCTAGGAGCAGGAACAGCTGATATACCACCTTAACATGAACAAAATCATCTAGCCTGGAAAAGCTATACAATCCATTCTGGCATAAATTTTCTAGTACTCCTGGAATATAAACTTGATTTTTTAAGGGAATACAACCCAATCTGATGCATGCTAAACTAAAAATCAGATCTATCCCCCTTCTAATCTCAGGATAGATATTGAAGTCATCCAGCACAACCTGTGGACAGTCCAGCACTATGAGTGAGGCCACTGTAACAAACTCATATGGGTAATTCAGAAATTCATGCTTTAGGTTTGGATACTTTCAGGAAACTACTTTGTTTCTGTAAGTTCCAGAACCAATATCAAGGAAATTTCTTCAGCTCAGGCTGTGACTGAATCTAATACATGTCACAAGGATCTCAGCAGAGAGATATATATACACACACATACATACACATACACACACACCACCTTTCTCACCCCACAGGGGACTCAAGGCGGCTTCCAGACATCAGCAAATTTCATAAACACATGTGCAAATCCAACACATGGAACAATAAAACAGATTAAAACATATAAAGTGCTTTATTTATATCCCACCGCCATCCCGTCTATATATCCATCCCATAAGGGAAGTTCCCAGTGATTCATCAGATTGTCTATACTTAGCATGCAGAGTCATGAGAAATGTCATGCTAACAATTAGAACAAACAATAATGCATGTACATTCAGTATTCAAGGGTATAATTTATGAATTGTTGACAACTTATGTGAAACAAGTTAGCTTGGGAGCATTTCTGGTTTATTTCAAATTAGGAACTCTGGATGACAACAGATTTAGGGGAAGGAGGAGGAAGTCTCATCAGGCCAAAGCTCTCTGAGTATGCAACCTCTGTGAAGAAATTATGCAGGGCTTCTGAAATGCAATTTGTATCTTTAATCTTCTCTCTTTGCATCAGTTATTTTATAACTATAGGCAGTCCCCAAGTCACAAACAAAATAGATTCTATATGTTTGTTCGTAAGTTGAATTTGTATGTAAGTTGAAAAGGGCACATTTTAAAGTGTAACTCCAGCTAGATGTGTGCGTACGCATGGGCGTGCAAGCTTTGGATAGCATAAGGAAGGGTTAACACCCTTGTAGTGTTTGTTTTGCAGTGGCCCTGTTCAGAAGATTTTATCTCAGTCTCTGTCCCTTTGACAATTGGATTCTGAAAAAATTGGCTTGTTGTGGAAACAAGGATTGGTGGAGTTGTAGTGGAGATGCCTTTTCCCCATGACAACTCTTCCAGGACTGAATTTCCCTTCCTAGGGGTAGATGTCACTCATTTCCTGAGTGACATCTACACCTCTGTAGGAATGAGACAACAACTCTGTAGGAATCTCTAGGTCCTACAGTGCAACTCTATAGTCAACCTCCAGAGAAGCTGATCATACAGTCACACTAGAGGCTCTAGATCAGAGCTTTCCAAACACCTTTTCCAAACACCTATTTTTAAGTTGAATTCGTATGTGATTCAGAACATGTATATTTTTGAAGTTTTACTCCAGCCAAAAAAATGTTTTAGCTTTGGATGGCATAGGGAAGGGCTAACACCCCTGTAACACCTTCAGTGCTCTGCGGTTTGTGTAGCACACTCAGGTCTCCAACT